AATTTAATTTTAAAGGATAAAAAAGTAGGTTAATATTTCAGAAATATTTTTATCGTTCAATATTTAACATTTTAAGTAGCTCATGCAAAATAAAATGCGTTTAAACAAAGAAAGAGTAATTGTATAAAAGTAATAGTACGAGTTTTTTGGACAAACATCCATGATTTCGTACACGGTAACTTTTGAAGTTACAGAATAATAAAAAATATAATGCTTTTGATACATTAGACAAAATTCAAGATGAGTATCTCATGTGAATGGTCATTTCAACGTCATAAACCAAATAAATGATACTCCTTTCATTTTATTTTATTTGTGGTAGTTTAATTTAACACAAAACTTAAAAAAGAAATAAAGTCTTTTGAAATTTATAGTCTTAAATATTTTATAATATTTGTGTAGTTATAAAACTTTTGAAATATGTAATTTTAAACATGTCATATTATTTGTGTGATTCACTACAACATTATGCATCTATAGCTACAAATTTAAAATTTGTAGCTAATACCTAACAATAACCACAAATATAAGAATTATATGGCTATTTATAAAATTATAAAAAAATTTAGCTATGAAAATTAAGTTGGTAAAGCCAATTCCTCATATTAGCTATACTGGATAAAATATTAAAATATGTCAATTTATTTTGAACCGGCTATTAAGATAAAAAAGTGTCAAAAAAAGTGGATGGAGAGAGTATTAATCTCTAAAGGGTCGTTTGGTAGGGTGTATAAGAATATTATTGAATAAGGTGTGTTAGTAATATTGAGATTAGTTATGATAGGATTAGTTATTTTGTGATTATTTCTTATAAACTGTTTGCTTTAGTGTATTAAAAATAGCACGCATTGCATAATTCTTTAAGAAAATTATTTGTTTACAAAAATATCCTCCATATGCATTAGAAAGATGTAAAAAGGGTTTTGAAAGAACAGTTCTATCTTTATACATGCTTATTATATTCATGTATTAAAAATTATGATACTACTAATATCATGGTGTGCTATGTATAAGAATAATACTTCATAGGGTATGTAACTAATACATATATTAATTATACTTATTCGTAGGTTGAGAAACACTATCAAACAAAAAATTAATAATACTAAGGCTAATATATATATTATTTTCCTTAAAACAATCCTACCAAATGACCCATAAATTCATGTGTGTTGGGATAGTGGATATCTAGTCCATGTTACAGCAAACCACCGCCAATATGTTGTTTTAATTGGTTTTTTATTTCGGCTTTGAGGTTTCGATTAATTTAGTTTACATAAAATAATTATATTTTGGGAGATAAAATATTAAAAAAATAACTTTACAACCAAAGCTCAAACTCAACAACACTTCTGATTAAATGAGGAGGAGTACACCGTCAAAAACTTGCGCAGTGGAGAAATCCACAACCTAGAAAGAATGAAAAAAAGAAAGGAGGTCACGTGTGTGTCTGTTGGCCAAGGTTTTCTGTGGGCTCAATCCAGTGGTTGCCTTGACGCCTTGAAGTTTCAAAGAACAACTTCACTTTTACAATTAAGAAAAAGAGAAGAATGAAAAGTTGAACGAGAAAAATAGATTATATTCTGATCTTTGTTTTTATCCACGGCGAGACAGTTCTGACATTTTTCAGCTACAAATAACTTAGGAGTCGTTTGGACATAAGAATTATAAATTTTAAAAAAATAGTATTTAGAATTTAAAATTATATTTGAATGTGTATTTTACTTGAAAAAATATTATAATTTTATGAGAGTAGAAAAAAATATTTCTGAAAATTTGATTTTTTTTTTTAAAAAAAAACTCATTTTCATAGACATAAGTATTTTCATAGACTCATTTTGAAAATAAAATATTAATTGAATTGTTTTCTAATACATATTTAAATTTAATTTTCACTTTAAAATAATATTAATTATAAATTATACCTTTATTATCTTTTTCATAAATTAATACTTAAATTTTTAAAAGACTGGTCAAATATAATTTGTCTATCAAAAATTACAGAAATCACTTATCAAATAAAATTTTCAAACACAAACTGCTACTCTCTTAAATATTTTTTGAAAAGTACTTTTAAATAAAAATAATTTTCAGTAATTTCTGGCATTTTAATTCTAAATAGATTTGGGAATTGAAAGGAAAGTCAGCTAAAACGCGTGCCACGTCAGGTCAAAGTAGTGAAAGCTAAGAAGATTCTCATAGCATAGTCCACGTGACAGACATTACTAGTCTTTTATAGTTTAATTGGTCAGTCTGTGTTGGCTCAATTTAATTGATCGTCATAGTAGTGTCACGTGATCGTCACCTTGTCAACCTTCACTTAATGTTTTTTCTCTACAGTTATTACTACCTCTTTTCTGTCTGACCTTTTGAGTTCCCTCGATCCCATCCTCCTCTCCAGCGCGTGCTCGCAAACTAATGTTGCTTCTCAATCAACGTACTTTCTTTTAGCTTCTATAGGATTCAAAATGAACGTTTCTTATATTGAAATTTGAAATACCTTATGAAAATACTTATCACTTACCATCAAGAGTTTGTGAGTTCGAGTCACCTCAAGAGCAAGATGGAGAGTTTTTGGAGGGAGGGAGCTGAGGGTCTATCGGAAACAGCTTCTCTACCCCAGAGTAGTGCTAAGGTCTATGTACACACTACCCTCTCCAAACCCCACTAGTGAGATTATACTGGGTTGTTGTTGTTGTTTACAACTTTTGATGGTGCTCCTCAATTAATTATTATTATACACAACGTGTATATCAAATAATATTACTTTATTATGATTAATTGATATGATAAGGTACTATATATGTGTTATTAGAATGCGCAAGCAAATTAACGATTTATGTGCATAATGTATATTATAAAATTATTACCTTATCAAAAAACGTATATTATATAATTATTAGGTCAATATAATAATTGAGTATAAATAACTCTTCCTTTTCTATCACTCTAAAAAGTTAGGTCAAGAAGCTCACTAATCTATCCAACCCAAGCTCGTGAGATGATTCCTAGCAGCACTACCATCTCCCAAATAATACATGAGATTTAATCATCACACCGCACGCCCAATGGCAAGAACTTTTAAGAACGAAATCTAATACTATCGAGAAAAATAGAGAACCGATCTTCACACGCCAATAGAAATAATTTGGTCGAGAAATGGAAGAGCTAGCTACCAGATTATAAGCTTTATCCATGCAAGCCAAAACACTCCAACTCGCGCGGATGGTTCTTTTGGCAAACTTAGACGCGATCTGATGTTCATCACAATTCATATAGTATTAAAAAAATACTAGCTAGTGTACTTTTAGTTTGTACATTACTATTTAGCCATAAGTTTTAGAGTCAACTACGGAAGACTTAAATTTGCATTATATATTTCTATGGCTCAAAATGACCACACGACAGTTTAATTGAAAAGGAGTTCAATTTTGAACGATAATGAGGATGTTAACTTGGATTAATCAGATACTTTATGCATTTTGATACCTAACCATGTTAGTTGACGACAAAGAAGGAATAATAATATTCTTCAATCAGATTTTGAACAAATTTTTCTTGAGATATTCCAAGCAAATACTTGAAGAAGCAAATGCAGAATTTGGCAATAATTGTCTATAGTAGTTGTTTTTTAAAAAGTTGGAATTACTGAATTTATGTCAATTTCCGTCTTTTTTTTGGGATCGAGACAATCAAGTGTTATATGTAAGTTAACAAACAAACTTTGAACGACAATAAATCAACCGACAAAAAGCAACATATCAAAAGATATGCATATAATAGTTTAATGTGATTTGGTGTGACGCACATATGAACAATTCACTAAGAAAAATTACAAAAATATCAAGAGATAATTCTTCCCCTAAACAAGATTCTTCAACCTTAAAGGGCTACATTTGTAGGTTGTGTGTAAAGTGAGAAGAAAGAATACTCAATTTATAGAAGTGCAAAATATTTTTTATCAATAAAAGTATTAATTAGTCAGATACGAAAAGATTTATACTTTCCTTTTAGGAAAAAATAAAAATAAATTATAATAAACATTTTGTCCTTCGTTCAAAAGCAAAACTCAAATATAGTAGAAAATGAGAAAACCCTAACTCTCCTTTTAATAGTTTGGATTGCTATAGAATGATGATATCACTTACTTTTAAAGAACCATTTTACAAATATATTCTCAATAGGCATGGGAGCTTATATATTTTTCTATAAACGTTAATCAGCTCATTCTTTTAACCTTTTTACTAAAAAATCACACACATCAATTTAACAATAAATTAGTTTTAAATTGGCCTAAATTGATAGAGTAGACAATTGAGAATAATCGAATATAGATAAGAAAACTTATATTAGCCAACCTAATTTACACATTATGTTATGATTGTTTGCAAAAATGTCGAGGAGGGGCAGGTAACAATAGTGGCAATAACAAAAAGTGATTGGACACTAATCATGCTAGTAGAATGACCCAACTAGACCTCAAAAAAAGTTGTACCAAACTAGTACTACTGGTTTTGGAACCCTGTTCAAGTTTTCAATTCTTTCATTTCTTAAAGCATGTCACCTTTAGTTATGAATATTCTCAAATGAAATGTTTCTAGAATTTCAACGTTCGAGCTCATTTTCTAAAAAGGTCACAAAATTCTTGATGTAAGATACGCTAACTAAATGAATGTATTATCATCCTTTAATAAAAAAAATTAAAATTATTATATTTTATGCATTGAAAACGTACACATTGTATTGATTAGTTATCTAATATACTTGATAAGTAACGTGTAATAAATTGGATGCTAAGGGGTATATAGTCAATGATTGGAGACCCGACAGTGGCTTTTTCATAGCGTGTAAAACACAGAGAGCAGAGTAACGCGTAAGCGATCCATTAGGCGTTAACCATGGTTGGAAGAGGATGGAACATTCTAACCCACTTGTTTGGTCAGCTTCACTGCTATTCTAATAAAACAACTGAACCACCACCTTTCCTGTTTCCTCCTCTATATATTTAGTCTTTATTGCTCGTTTCTTCTTCTTCTTCCTCAATTGTAACTGCCTAGTCTTCTCTCCAAATTTATATAACTGCCGCTACGGATAATTTTCTCATATCCCACTTGAGTAATATCAAATCTACACTCTTTCTTCTGCAGATCATATCAGGTATTTTATTTTATAATTTGTTACTCTTGATTCTTCTTTTGGATTTTGGTTTGGTTGAAAAAGCGAATTAACAAGAAATTCAAAGTTTTGATTTTTGTGATCTATATGGTTCATTGGTTGAGCTGGACCTTTTTCTACTCGGTCTCTATCATTGAAAACAAAAAATCATTTTTCCTGAGGATTTGAGTTCTTTTTTCTGTTAAGTCTGGTCTTCCTCTGCAGTTGAAATATATTTATATTTACAGCAGTGTATTTCATGCTGAATATGAATAAATAAGTTCGTTTAGTAAATTCATGTTAATTATCTTGTAGACTTATTTTTTAAAAATGATTGCTATCACTTGGAGTTGGCTCTGTATTTAACATGTATATAAGGTAATTACGTTTCTTGAGATTTTTTTGGGGGTTCATCAGACATGAAAATGCATTAGACTGTATAACGGGGAATATAGGAGTTTCTATTTGAAAAACTTTTTTACAGAAGGCAAATTGATGACTGAAAGGAGATGGGAATTCACCTATCATAATTCATTAAAAAGATTTCCTAATATAATTTCTCCCTCTTGCTGTGAACATCTGTGGAGCAAGGTTATCCTACTTTAAGAGCTTAAACTATTCTACTTCGGCGTGGGAATTAATTATTAACCCCACATGATAGATTATTCTCGTCTTAACAACCTACGAGACATGTCATGGTGATGCTCGATGTGTTTCGTTCTGTACTTTCTTCTTGTCTTTCCATTAGCTTCAAAAGTAGAAAGCTTTATTGTCCTCTGGAGAGGGTTGTAAAATTGATGTTTGTTCATCTCTGTATTTATCACAGGTTGATTTTGTTGAAGCAGATATTGTCTGTGAGAAAAGAGAATGTGCTGAAAATACTTTGTGCATAGTATGGATGCGCACCATTTTTATGATTATGGTGTGACTGGAAGCGATTTGTCATACTCTTCATATCCTACTATTAGTTCTCTACCAAATAGGCCGTCTGGAACCTCGAAATTTGATTCAGAAAATTCGCCAATTTCGCCACTTGCAAACTATTTCGACTCTGAGACCTTTACCACATTAAGTAATTGCCAGGAGCAGCACAGCTCTACAGAAAATCTTTCAGGAGCTAGTTCTTCCAGTAATTCTTCGCTGGATTATAACAATTATTTCCATCGTCCAAGCTCCTCCCCGGATTGTCTTCCGGAAGGTCTGCTGGTTTTCTCTGGTGGAAATGCTGTTCTTCAGAATGCGGTTCACAGTCAGAACATGCAACATGCTCTGCTGCAGTTGGAGTCTGCTTTAATGGGGCCAGACGAAGAAGTCACAAAATCTAGCCCTTCTTATGGTGGAAATAGGGCGGCACAAACATCAAATCAGAGGTCTAGGGCGTGGACCAACGAATCCAAGGTTTTGCATCAAAATGAAACTCAACGATCACAAATTTCCTTGTTCGCCAAGTCAGGCAATGGAATTCGAAGTCAGGAACAGAACAAAGTACTAGACAACTTGCCCTTGCATGGTCTTCCCTCTAGCAATCTGAAGCAGCTGCTTATAGCATGCGCCCGAGTTCTTGCTGACAACAAACTAGATGATTTTGAAGTACTGGTTACCAAGGCAAGGAGTACTGTGTCCATTACTGGAGATCCAATCCAGCGTCTTGGTGCTTACATTGTAGAAGGGCTAGTAGCAAGAAAGGAGTTATCTGGAACCACCATATACAGGAGTTTGAGGTGCAAGGAACCGGCTGGAAATGACTTGCTCTCCTACATGCATATCCTCTATGAAATATGTCCTTACCTAAAGTTTGGCTACATGGCTGCAAATGGTGCCATAGCAGAAGCATGCAGAAACGAAAATTACGTCCACATTATTGACTTCCAAATTGCACAGGGGACCCAGTGGATGACTCTCTTACAAGCTCTTGCTGCAAGACCCGGCGGTGCCCCCTATGTACGCATTACAGGAATTGATGATCCAGTTTCACAATATGCTCGGGGAGACGGATTGGCAGCAGTGGAGAAACGACTATCAGCAATTTCTGAGAAATTCAACATTGCAGTAGAGTTTAATGCAGTGCCAGTTTTTGCTCCAGAAGTCACTAAGGCTATGCTTGATGTAAGGCCTGGTGAGGCTGTGGCAGTAAACTTTCCTTTGCAACTTCATCACACCCCTGATGAGAGTGTTGACGTGAATAACCCGAGGGATGAGCTTATTAGGATGATAAAGTCGCTTTGCCCCAAGATAGTCACTTTGGTTGAGCAAGAATCAAATACAAACACGGCCCCATTTTTCCCTAGGTTTTTAGAAGCTCTGGACTACTACCATGCAATGTTCGAGTCAATAGATGTGACCCTAGCGAGGGACAGGAAGGAGCGGATCAATGTGGAGCAGCATTGTTTGGCTAGGGAT